AGTCAGCCATAAACCTCCCCTAATGTTTGTCTCCAGTGAGCTCTTCCCTCTTCCCCCATGTAAAGAGACACGCAAGCACCTGGATGCAACCCAAAAATGGCTGCTTGAATCTTATACCTGTCTTCAACGGCACATGGCTGAGTGCTTTCCTCTTCTTTCTATGCTTGTGTTGACCTATCTACTCAGCTGATTGACTGTCATGACATTTTCTCACAGTTAGCTTTAATCATTTCATTGTAACGGTGGACCATTATGGGATGAGGCAAGCCGCTGCATAAGCGAACAGAAAGGCCCACTATGGTGGCACAAAGCCCAATTTACATAGAAATGGCCAGATTACTGAGCCCAGCACAGGCAATAAGTGCTATAATTCAAAATGACTACTGCGAGTAGCCGAGTTCAGATCTCCGACAGGGTATAGCCTCCAGCTAACACTAACATTCAGAGAGCAAGTGGTCAGCAAGCAGGAAGGAATGTGTTGTTTCAGCAGGTTGTGGGTATTTTGGCATCAAGTAACACACGTCCTCGTGCCCTTCTGCGTATCGATTCTCCCTGTGCTTCAGGCATGGCAACTGTAAAGCCCTTATGGCAAGGTCACAACACATTAAAATACTCAACTGAGAAAAAGTACACAAAGTAAAAAAGAAACGGCTACTTTAGGAGTAAGTATGCGCTTTAAAATCTGAACAATAAGATACAAAGTCTGTTTGACGTGTTTCAGCATTTACATACAGCTTTGCAGAATTAGAAAAAGTCCTCCCTCCCATTCAAAACACATGTCCAGCTTGCTAATTAGTCCGGTGCTGGGGTTGATTCATAGCCTCCCCATTTATAGCATTTGCACAGAAATATCTTAATTATGGTCAAAGCCTGAGCTAGGTGCAGGTGGCGATGAGAAATGCACATTCACTAACAAAATGATAGATTATCACCCCATGAATATTATCAGTTATTCCTTCCTAGCAAGAGATTGGGGGTGGAAAAAAGTCATTTCCATGAGCATACTAATTCACATTTACATAGAGATAGAGATGAATCCAGATGCAAATGAGAAAAGCTGCATGTTACTTAAAACTGGTCCGCTTTCTGTACTGACAAGCTTCACCTAGATTAATATCGACCTTTATCAAGGATGTTGATCAAATGCTATGCAAGAGGGGAGAAGCAAAACAGTTCAACACAACAAGGCCCCCTACAAGGGAGCCAATGTCATGCCAAAGTAAACGAAAGAGATTAGAAATCTTAAGTTTCACTTCCTGGTTTGAAATTAAAACAAAACTCGCTAAAATGCTGGCATAAAGCATCACGGTGAAACTAGTTTAATTGCTTTTTTCCCATTTTGCACATCTGCTAAGTGAAGAAGGGACGAAACGTTTATGATAAATGTGCTGTAGATATGTTGGACAGTAGACTTTCCTGCCTGTTCTCATATCTGTAGACATAGTGTTTATGCTATCAAATATAAATGTTGAACATGAAATCAACTCAAGCTTATGACTGTCTGCAGGCTACGGTGTGACATTCTGGAGACAGAGCTTGATGAGCGCAGCATGACAAACAGGATGGATTTAAGTGCTGAAATTAATCGGGATTTATTTTTATGTATCCTATGACTAGCGTGAAGCAAATCGCATTAAGGGAAAATAGAGGGAAATCAAATTGAGGCTAAACAGTTCTTGTTTCTAAAACTGTTAACGGATTATTTGCAGATCTGCATCTGTGTTCTGTAGGCTACAACATTGCTCCAAGCCTTATACTATCATTATATATAGACAGTGACTTGTCTATATTTCTGTCTACGTAAACTATTGAGATCAAAGATTTGACTTAGGGTTTGTCATCACAGATTGAGGGGGGAAAAAGGTTTTTTGCATTGGGGTTACCCCCTTTTTTTGTTTGAAAAAACAACCAAACAAGTTCGCTGTAATCTCTTCGACAATCTGCAAGGGTGGCAGCTGCGGGAGAGTACAGAGATGACTGGAAAGGGACAAAGAATCCTTGTCTTTCAGCACCTGGGAGCCTAAAGCTCAATAGCGGTCAATGGCAGTGGTAATGTATTTTAAAAGTGTGGAAAAACAACAAGCAGGATTAGCAAACTTTAGTAGTAGCAGTGTGCAGCCACCATGGAGACACCAGGGATCACCTCAAATTGTAAGTCGGTGCCTTGGTCAAGGGCACAGTGGCAGAAGAAATTAACCTAGCATGGTTTTAATGGTGGGAAAACCTGGACAGAGGGGTTATAGCTTGGATCGGAGGTCTCATGAATTGTTACTCAAAATCATAGAGCAAATTAAGACATTTTTAACTAGTGATAAAACTAGCAAATGTTCAACATAACATAAAATAATATTTAACTTTTACTTCAGGTAATTTGCACATTCTCAGATATTTCTCCATTTATCACATGATGCATGTGCATTCCCCTTCTCGCCTTAGTTTGTTGCTCATTACTTTCTGCTGTACAAGAATGCACAAAGCCTTTGGCCTCGCACTTCCAGCCCTGGATTGGACAAATTCAGTCTTTGTGCCAGCTCTTCAGGCACACCACAGCCTGCGTGTCCAGTGCTTGCATTGTCAAAGGCCCTCGAGTCGTTGCCCCAACCCCCCCCCAGTTTAACCATCATGGCCCGAATCCACTCAGCTGTGACTAAGTGACTCTTCCTGAGTTTCATAATGAAATCATTCAGTCATGCGCAGGAAGTTCCTTGTACTGTGTAGCTGTGAAACAATGCAAGTTGTGTTCTTCCACTAACGGGCCACCAGTCAGTTTGTCACCTAGTGTCTGGGAAAATGCTCTTTTTTTTGGCACGGTCTGACAAAAGCAGTCCTGTTTTCTTGAAATAAATAAAATAGAAAAAAAAACATCTAAAGTCTATTAAATAACTCCAGAACTCAGTAACTGATATGTTACACCTTGTTTTTACTCTTAAATGCACAGACCAACAAGTGTAGAAACAAAACAAAAGCAAATTTACAGGGTAGTGCGTGCCAGAATATTTCTTGGCAGGTGTTGTCATAGTCTTGTTGTCACCATAGGTTTGCCAGGCGGTTGGCTGAGAATTTGGAGGAGTCACTCCTCTTGGCCAAAAGAAAAATTTAATCTTAAATCTTATTAAACCAGCACAGTCACATCATTTTACTCTTTCTTTAATGTATATGGACTCAGCAGACAAGATACAGTAAAAGGTTTATTTGTGAGATTTAGAAGAGCTGATAAGTAGATTTTCCTTTTAGTTAATAAGATTGTGGCTGTATAGCCTCCTGACGCCAAACTGACTAGACTGGTACTCTCACTTACCTTACAGCAAGAAAGCAACAATAACTAGCATCTACTGAAATGTCTTTCTGTTCCTAATAAAATGTAGCATGCTGTAATTTATTATTTTTTTTAAAAAAAGATGAAAAAGGATCCGAGTCAACGTTGACAGCGGTTTGTGTACACAGCTGGGACGCTTCAGTGCCTGAGAAGTGTCTGTGTGTGCTGGTGTGTCCGTGGAGATGATCCTCCCTCGGCTCCTCAGGAATGTTTGAAATTTGCACAAAGAAGAACAAGATTGGCTCGAGTACCTGGGGTCTGTGCTCCAGCCTGCTGTTAGCCCCCGGCTGTCTGTACTTACACAGAAAAAAAAAACGAACACATCTGCAGGAAACAGAAGAAAACTGACGCGTATTAACTTGTAAGTAAAATAATCTGCTGCACTGATGCCACAAGCTAGGACGGGTTGCATTCATTACACAACTACACAAACTTATCTGTATGAAGATTTTGTTGGTGTTGGGTGGGAAAAAATATGACCTCATGAAGTCTGTGTGGTTATCTGAAATAAGCAAGGCGGTAAGAGTGAAGGAAGAACATATGTGAACAGTTAAGGGTGTTTCAACGACCTCTTTGAAATACCCCATTAGTGTGATTACAGCTGGCAGGAAACCCGGGTTAAAAAATGACTTTCTTGTGCAAAGGAATCCACAAAAAAAACTAATTAGGAAAATGAAACTTTCATTTTCAATTTAGGTCATAAATGAAGCTGACAGTGATGTTAAGAGCAAAGACAGATGCACAAAAAGATGGGCATGGTGTGGATGGAATACGGAAGGGGAAATCAAGCGAGGCAAGAAAGGAGGAAAGGTCACAAGTCTGTCTTCGACATGCAGACCTTAGCTTTGCATTGTTTTTAATCCCCGGAGCCTGCAGCCGGTTGTAAATCTCTTTGCAGAGTTTGGTATTAACAGACATGCCTGGAGCACCGTACCCAGCTGCAAGTGTAGATTTTGCAAGGGCCTTGAAACACATGTTCCTATTTTAACTGAAAAGGCAGCACATTAACATGACCTTCTTTCGCCTACACACCAGTCAGTGCACATATTGATCCCCGAGTCCCTATTACAGCTGAAGCACAGCAGAATGCCTCTAGTTACACCTATTTACACCTTTGCTGCCTGTCTCCCTTTACGCAGTGACCTAGCAGGCAGAAGAACAATTCACTGAAACATGCCGTAAACCATGAAATAAAGTATAAGCACAAAAATCGAGCCACTATTTTTACAAGGTGCATTCATCTCTCTTCGCGGAGTCGCGCAAACAGTTTGTGGCGTGTCCTGGACTCGAACATATATAAAGAAATTTTAAAAGAAACCAGATGGGCTGCAGGATAGCAAAAGGCTGGAAAGAATTAGTCTGTCAAAAGTTTGATCACTGTCTTTCCCTTAGATGTGCTCATAAGTCTGGAACCAGAGATCAGACACAGAAGTAGGCCTGTAGTGGAACGAATAAGAAAAGTATGGCTCTATAAGGTTCGAATTAAAAAAATTATGTGCTGATGTAAAGTGACAGCACAGACTATACAGCGAATTAACGCAGCTGGCCTTGATGTTTTTCTCTTCGAAACCTTTCACGGTTACATTTCCAACCCATAAAAAGCCGTAAACAAGTCTCTCCACTGAGGGCAAAACACTCATTAACAGCACATGCAGCACATGCAACCAGTAAGGCAGACTGCTTATAGGTTGACCAATTTATATTGGAATATACAAATATTCTGCAATATACGGTATAGCTAGGAAATGTCATAATATAGTTAGGGAACAGCAAATTCCTTTTCAAATGATGTCAAATAATGTCAGTCGTCTCCTTCAGTTCATCATTCTGGGTGAGATTATAAAGGGGATTAGAGACGCCTGTTGTAGCGTGCCTGTGGCTGACAGAATGGCTCCTGGGGAAGTGTGCCAGTGCAAGATATTTCTACAGTACAATGAGAGCACTGTATGGGAAAGTACGGAGGCAACAGAGGCTTCAAAAACAAGGAAAAAGGAAAAAAAAAAAACCAGCACTCCACACAAAATAGGTAAATATTTGATGCGTTCTAATAAGGCAGTTAAGAACAAACTGCATACAAAATACGCATTAACAGAGAAGTTAAATTACAGCATATTTATAAAAAAAAACAAAAACAAGAGTTTTTTGGAATGTTAAAAAGCACATTAAATTAGTTTAGCATCAAATTTCCAAAACAGGTTGGCAGACCGTATTTACATCAGACAAATGCACAAATGAATATGCTCCACCTGTGAAATTAAGGCTAAGTACGCTATCCAAACACAATTACAAGAGTGCAGGTGCTGGCAATGTGTGTGCAAAAGATCTTCTCTAAAAAAGCGAGCTGAACGTCAACAGAAATACAATATTCAAGAGTCAACTTACATTAAGGCTTAGGAGTTTATCATTGGGATTATTGAACACAAATCAACAATCCAAACCGCACATGAAGGGGTAGTTTATGATACCCAACGCGCATAGTCTACTCTTTATATTTAGTCATATTCAGGTGAACATCAGAGGGGTGAAGTAAAGACAGGGTCATTCTTCACAGTGAGGCGAACAGTGAACATCTCAGCTTATAAACGTGTCAAACTGATTCATTGATAAACTAGGAAACACATTCTATTCACAGGAGGTAGTTCAGCTGGATATTCAAGACATTTTTTTTCTGTGTAATGCGCATCAGCTTAGCACAGGTGTGCCAGCTGCGTTTGCAAAGCTCATTACTGTGCAGGCAGACAACAAATCCATCACCTGTGCATGCTGAATGTTCACAGCTGGCCGTACTTGCCTTTGCAATGCACAATGTGTTTATATAATCTGTCTATCCTGTCCTGGAGAACACCGGCGTGCTCATCTGAGAGAAATCCTAATTCCTGAGACAAAGGCTCGCTGTCTCTGTAGAGCTCCAGCAGCCTTTGCCTGGAGTCTCTGCGCGTGTGCAGCTCTGCCACGCGCTGCGTGGTCCTTTTTCTAAACACGCACACAGAGCTCAGGACTGTATTGTGATATTTCTCCCACATGTTTAACACTCGAAACCCGTGCACTAATCCGGCCTCGTTGTCTATGAATACGAGGTCACCGCGAGGGGTTTTCAGGAGATTGTTCGTGTCTCTCTCCATTACACGGGAGTCCCACTGCAGACTAAACAAATTGCTGACGAGCCTGTCGAAGTTTGCCGTCAGGTAGTCTAATACGATCAGGTCTGTCCACTGCATCAGCTCCAGCAGCTCCGCCGCTGTCTTGTTCCAGAGCCCCTTGAGCGCAGGATGCAGCCCGCTGCTCTCCTGTCTCAGCGGCGCAGGTGTGATGACCCCTGTCAGGTTGGAGATCCACTGAGTTAGAGAAACCACGGCTCGGTCATTCCACTGTAAACCATCTATCCGCGTCCTCACACTTTCCCATTGCTCACTGTCACTGTCCAGCTGGGACAGTACGAGAGGGGGCAGGTTTGTGATGCCAAGCAAACGTGCAAGGTAGTAAGTCAAAGTTTCACCCTGCACCTGGTCAGCGTTTATCCCGTAACGCACACAAGCTTTGGTCCCGTCTGCAAACGTGGCGAGCTGATTGGATATCCTGCCGCATCCCGGCTCCAGCTTCACCACCCGGTACGTCCTCGCTTTCTTTTGCCAAGCCACAGCATATTCCTCCGTGAATCCCGCAGGAAGGGTATCTTCCAGCCATTCGTTCCAAAATATTCCGTCTTCCAATGGGGACAACTTGACCGGGCCCTCCCGCGGGGCTGACCTCTTGTTATCCCCATTCATATTGTAATCTCGATTTCCTGCAGAGACAGGTTGATTGGTGAGGTTGAGGCGAGTCTTCAGTCTGTCTCCAAAGTGTAGTCTCTGTGCCGCTGGGACAGCAAGCAATGCACGGAAAGTTTTGGCTGAAAGGTCCACTGGGAGAGCTTGGTGAAAGGACACTGCACCCGGTACTGAGAACCTCCGTTTGTGTCGCTCCAAACGGTCCTCCAGTGCGCTCCAGACGTAGAAAACACTTGCGAGGGCGCACAGGAGGAGCAGAGAAAACAAGTTCGCTGAAAGAACCCTCATGGTGACGGCCACCATTCCTCTTGGCACACAGTACTCCAGCAGATTTTAATAAGATACAGGCAGAAAAAAAATTCTCCGATCCGCAGTTGAGCCGGAGCGGCTTTGAGCGGTGCGCTTTCTGTCCTCTACACGCCCGAAGCCCTGCGGCTCAAAGGCGTACTGGGTAAGATCACAAGGAGAAAAGGGTCTCCGAAACTGTGTGAAGCTCATCTCCCGTCCTGTTCACACGCCTTGTCATATTCCTACTCTATGGGGAAAAAAAGAGCGCATTTCGCTTCACCCCGATAGCCGCTATTGGACGTTCTCCGTTACAGCCCACTGGCGTCGTAAGGGCTTTCTGTGCGTGCACGCCACACTCTTTCCCATCTGCCTTTATCTCTCCACCGGGCGCTGGGTGAGTTTGATTTGTGGTGGAGTCGGTTAGCAGAGACACACTAGGCGGTGAGACACGTGACTTTAGTCCCGAGATGGTGGGCGGATCGTGGGAAGGAGGCTTCCAAGAGGAGCGGAGCAAGTGCACCGCTGTGCGTTTTATGTGTTTGTGTGATGTCAGACGATTGTGTGTTATTACAAAAAAGGTAGCCATTATGATAATTGATATCCAGAGTATAAATACTCCGCATTTTAATACATTCGTATTACGTACCTGCGTGGAAAGCTGTGCTTGCATCAGCGAGGCAGACAAGAATGGAGTCCAGGCGAGAGAGTTTGCAGACCTCACTCTTTTTTCATAGCATTTTTCATTGTTTTCGAATTCATCTTTTAATTTATGTCTGTTAAGGAGTCATTATGAATAAGAGAAACCACTAAGTATTTTACTTTGTTGTTTTACTTTGTATTTTTCAGCAGATTTCAGATTAAAGTCAAGGCAGTACTGAATTTCAGCTTTAACGCTTTTTTTTTTTTTTTTGGAGTATCTATATCTACATTGGCCACAAGACTCTTTGTTCCAGAGCATACAAACTAAGCAACAATATATGAACAAATAAACCAAATGATCTAATCACGATGATTTGATTGCCTCTCTGCCAAGAGCCAGAGTAACACAAAAAGCAGATACTTAAACGAAAAACCTGGCAAAGGATTCAGTATATTCCAATTTATTGACTCAAGCAGTTTGTTGGGAGCCAAATGCAGTCTCCTTCTTTAAGAACAATGCAATCACAAGTAATAAACAATTTGAGCCCATTTTTTACATTCTGTTTTAATTCAATTGAGCTACAGTTCCCCCAGTTTCTATAAAATACAGTTTTAACATTATTCCCTTAAGAGAAGGCCAAGTCCTTATTAGCAGATAAGACTTGCTCAGTTATGCATAGCGGATACAAATACACTATTCCAGTATTTTTAATAGTTTGCACTCTTGATTAATATTTAAAAAGAGCACAGTTATTTCCATTTTTTGCTGCTAAGCATTTGACCATTCTCCTATGAACACTAAAGTGAACCCCTGCTTGTTTGCTCTTCGTTCACGTTTTTTGTTAAACCAGATGTAACATGCGTGCACATAAACTCCTTTATCCACTTCTCCCTCACTAATATTCTCTCTCATTAACATCCCACTGCAACCTATACCATTCCACTCGTGTTTTCACTCTCTGTATCTTGAACCTTGGTTTCCTAATCAAATTAATTGGGTCATTTTTATAGCAACATGCTGGCATGCTAAATTGCCTGAGTCGAAAAGACAGCCACGGACAAGAATACTCAATTACAGCCAGTAAACTAGATGTCCACTAATGTCTGCTCGAAATGCCCAGAGCGCTTAAACTCTTATCTCCACTGACATTCATATTATATCATAGCTTGAACAGAGACATAGTGAATTACAAAATAATAAAATAAATAAATCGAATTTATCTTTTATAATCCCATATAGAAGAAAAACTCCTACAGACAGGCAGGCGAAATGATTCGGATTGGGACATGCTTCTTGTGTGCTTACATTAACATCAGCAGGATAATTTCCTTTCTGAGAGCATGTTTGATTCTGCATTGCAGCTTGATGGAGCAGTGTGGAGAGAGACTGAAAAACCTCTCGATTCTGTGCAAGCAAAGAGGAAATAATGAATGCAACAGTCTTGTGTAGCGGTGAGTGGTACAAGGCTGTTTTTTCTGACATGTTGACAAAAGAGTCACTCCTGGTGAAAGTGAGGCTTTTCCACCTGCTGTGTAGAACAAATTAGCCTTTCTTAATTGCATGCCGCCAATTACTCAAGATTGCAGATAGTTAGGGCACTCAGCAGGCTTGCTAAATATATACAACTTTATAATTACGTTGAAAGGGTACCTTGAAGTAGTTTGAAATATCTCTCTCTTTGATCTCCAGTCATAACAATCCTTCACCACCTTGCCACTTTCCTTCAGTTCCACATGAAAAGTGAGTAACAGCGAGATTTAAGACTTCCAGTGTCTAGACATAGAAAATGAAGAAGGCTTAAGTGCATTGCTGGAATTCTGTCTGATGGCTGTTACTTAAAAGGAGTGTGGACTAACAGTAATGGCTGGCTCTTGGTGTCGCTTTTCCCGAGCACAAGTGTGGGCATGTTCACATATCAAACCTATCTGTTTTCTTGCTATGTGTTATCTGCAGGTCATCTAACCCCTATGTCTCTCTCCTCATTTCACCCCCATCCCCCACCCTCTTCCACACACACAGACATCCCACTGCTGTCATGCCCCCTGCTGCTGCATTCCTCCCACAGCAGTCCCGGGGGGGCTGTAACTTATGGAAACCTTTTCTCCCCTTGGTCATGGCTGTCCGTAGTCAAGTGCCGCAGTGACACGGGAGAGCTCAGACCGTCTGTCATTCTGTCTGCGGCGACACAGTACACCCATCACGAGTCGCCTGACAACGCCATAGCTGTGATACAATCTCGTGGAGTCTGTGTGGTGCCTGTCTGCCAGCGCAGATGGACGCAGGGAGGGAAAGGAGATATTAAGGGACGGAGACAGTGGAAGAGAGAGTGCAGTGAGCTTCTATCACTTCCCCTGTAGTCTTAGGTTGTTCATGCTGAGTAATAACTCATGGGTCCCTTGACACTTTGTGGCACTCTGTTTCCTGGACTGAATAATGAATGTGCAGGACTTCCATTAGTGTTGAAAGCTACGATTATTTCACTAGGACTTACAATTACTCATGCTCTGGGATTTGGGGACAGGGCGGAGGAGATCCATGGGGATGAATTTGTGTCTCCTGGTTTATGTATGTGCAGAGATGTCTGCATGTGGATGTATGCTTACAAGTGTTTATTCTAAAGAAGAGAGTGGAGCAGATGATACCAAGGGGATTAGAAGTTGACGGGATTATGTAATGTATATGTATATGTGAGGTGTCAATACTAGCTTTGAATCCAAGAGGAGGCGCATTTCTATCTGTTCAAGAAACCCAACATGCTCTTCTCTTTCTCTCCCATCACATTAATATAGAATAGCTTTAGCAGAGTATTGCAATGAATACTTCAGAGAGACATAAGACATTTATTTTATGTACTGGAGACACAGATACAATCTTCTCAGTACTTGGTTCAAGTAATGCTTTGGAATACTGCATACATTGCCCAAAATTGATTTTATCGTCAGCAGATTATCCTGACTTCAATTAGCCGGCAGATGTTGCTGGTCTTAAATGTGAGAGGTAATTCAGTTTAATTCTCGGCTAGAGTCTTCCCAGAATGATGCCATTTTTAAAAGCAGTTTCACTCGTGGTTTCATTGAGACAGAAGTACGGGGAGTGAGCAGAAACAAGTAGCCTGTGCAGAATCAAACTGAAGCTGTTGCTACAACAAGCGATCCACTGCATTGCTGAACATGGCACACAGCCACCAAACGGCTGCCTTTTTTTCCACTATTCACTGCAGTTTCGCTAGTATGCCTTTGCCAATTTCCTGATACGCAGGCCCAAGGTTTTTAAAAGAGTGGTTGGATGCCATTTGCTAATAATGAATGGGTTATTGTTAATAAATGCTGAATTTATCCAGTAGTCACAGAAGAAAAGATGGTTGGGTTATTCATGTACTGCACCCTCGTCTCTGCCTGGCTTCCATGCAGCAGAAGTTAGAGAGGGGAGGTTTGAACGAGCTGAGGAGTGGGCCATTGAAATTCAGCGCTACACAAGGGAGACCCTCTTACAAGAGTGAAATCAGGAGGGGAGGAAGGAGATGTACTGTGGAGCCACTTGATTAAAGAATCAGTGTCCAATCTCCTGGATTACACCCTCTGACCTGCCATGCCAAATCCCCTATTAAATAAGTCAAGAATTGAATTCTTTTTCTTTCCTTTCTGCTAACTGGCTTATTGACTCAAGTGTGCTCAGTGCCTTGTGGTGAGGTCCGCCTTTCAACTGGCTAAAAGGAGGGTTTAGGAACATCTGATCTTTATTTACAAAGTCATGACTTTCCAAGCCTTGGTATTTTTTCAGACGAAATGCACCATGTGATGCTGCGATCTGGTTCCCCTCCCCTCCCCAGTGCTCGAGGGGGTCATGTGGTCAGTTAAGATTAGAGATGGAGGTTGAATGTCTTCCTAGCGTTTCAGCGAAAAATTTAGCAGCTTCAAATTTAATGGGAGAACAGCGTGAAGTGCTTGCTCTCATATCACACTGGAATGAATCCGCTGCATGTGTGAGGGAAGAGTGCAGCGGTCTAAATGCATCTTCTCTCCTAACTCCTCCCCACCCTCCCAGGATTTCAAACCAGTTTAAAGCAACCACTAATGAAAAACATGGGACCTTTTCAGCATATGGCCCAAGCTTACACAGAGAGAGGAGGGGACACAGTCACATTTCGTTTTAAACTGATGCATCCAGATATTCATATTAACATGACATATTTCACATCATGAAAAACTTAAGTTATTGTTTTCCATACTGTGCTCCAGATAGAGTACAAAGAGTGTTTTCAATGACTTATTTAAGCTCAAATTCAAAGGCTAAAGTCCACAGGACAGTGCAGATCTGTAATATTATTAATTTACCATATGGAGCACACTGCAAACACACATACACACTTACACAGTAACTATAGCTTGCACATTTATTTCATCTTGTCACTTCAAAATGCACCTTAGATCTAGCAGCTGGACACTGGGCAGAAAGAAAAATTGCAATATGCTACCAATGTATGAGGCTGCCACAGATCTGCTGATCACAAACTGCCAGATACAATGAAGGTACATTAGGTTGAATACAAACCTTGTGGTCAGTAACATCTGAAAAAGCTTCTGTTATTTCAACCTTATGTTTTGCTTTTCCCAGTGGTAGTCTTGTTTTTACGGTTCCTCAGCTGTAGTAAGAGAGGGAAAAGGCCAAATACCCGGGCACGAGCTTGACCCCTTTGCATTTTGACCTTTTTTTTTCTACCCATGAGGCTGGTAGTGTTGACAGGACGCTAGTGGGGGAGGGTAGGCAAACAAGCCACATGGAAAAGGCTA